AAAGGCAATGCAGGCCTGCAAATAGCCCATTAAAGATGTTTGCCCTACATCAAACCAGCAAGCAGAACTCAACTCCTTTGCCACTTTCTGTAAAAAAACCAACCACATCAAACAATTCAGGGTTTTTATACACTTTCCCAAATGCTTGGGTGAACACAGGGAGTGAGGGCACACAGCGTACAGACCACCGCCTCCCCTCCGTGCCTGTCTCAGGGAGTCTATCCCCTCCCACTCCCCACTCCCTCCCACTCCCCACTCTCTCCCTGGCCGGTCCTACCCAACCTCTGATGACCCCAAGTCATCCTCTCGAGGCACTCCCCAACAAAGAGAATCTTCCTCCCAACTCCCAGGGGAACAAAATTCCCTCCGTTTCATCCCACACAAGGCTTTAGAAGCTCTGGAGTCCCGAGCCCTGGACTTTGAGCTAGAATCTTTGAGCCCAGGAATCTTAGACTTTTGAGCTAGAATGGCCCCCGAGAGTAACGTAGCCCAGTCTTTCTTAGTTCACAGTGGGTGAAGCCAGGGTTCTGAGATGGAGAGGTCTTGCCCAAGGTCATGGGGCACTGGTAGCTGCCAGGTCTCTAAGCTCCAGGCTGTAGTCAGCTCACAACGTTGCATTGGATTAGCCTTGACTTTGAACCAGAGAGCCTCCCCTCTCTATTCCCCACCTCCTCCTGAGAGACTAGGTTGACACCACTCTGGGCGGTTGGATTGTCCCAGGGAGGTCCTGCAAGGAGTTCAAAGGACAGAAGACCCTGCAAGAAGTCAGGTTGGGGATCTCTTTTCAATTTCTGGGGTAGATTGAACCCAGGCAGAGGCAAGACAGTATGCCATCCTCATCTCTTTAGCTCGGAAGCCCCAAACATTGAGGGGGCGGACAAGCTCAGAGGTGGTCCAACTCTCAAAAGTGCGGGTGATTGAGGAGGGGGTACAGGGGAGCCAGGATCCCCCAGCACCCAGGCCCTGGCCAGAGTTTTCCTTATCACCCTCTTAGTCACCAAAGAAAGAGAAGTCAGTCTTCATTTTACTAAAATTCAGGGAGGATCACAGACCTTGCTGGGGCAGCGTGACCAGGGCAGGAGCCAGGCTGCAAACCCAAGCCTGCGTGGGTCAAAAGTTTATTCCCCAGAAACTAAGGGCTCCTCCATCAAAGCTGAGCCTGTGGGTGGGTGTGTGCAGGTGTGCGGGAGGGTGTGGCATGGTGGGGCCTTGTCCCTAGAAGAGGATGGTGGGTCACTTCCCCTGCCGATGCCTCTGGAGCCCACACAGAAGAGAGAAAAACTTTCTCTTCTCACCCAGGAGAGGAGATGACAGCCCCAGACCAGATGCCATGAGGCCTGGTCCCACCCGCCTCTGCCACTTGTCACCACGTATCCTTAGAGTCCCCTCTCCTAACCTCCATCTTCTCATCTGAGTTGTTACGAAGGGTGAGGACAGCTGACCATAAAACCAGTTCCCTGGCTCCTTGCCAGGCTCGTGGCCCTCCTGGACCTCAGTTTCTCCCACAATCCAGCTCGAAGCATTGGAAGGCCTCTTGGCTGGAGCCCCTCCCACACTGGACAGCTTCGAGGTGAAAAGCAAGGCAATTACTGGGTGTTTAGTGTCTTGGAGGTGTCACTGCTAGAGTGAGGAGGGCCACGCCTCCCCTTGAATTCTGACTGTCCTGCCTAGGAGTGTCCCAAGGCTCGCCTTATTAAGTGGGTCTGGCTGGCTGCTCAGAAACAGAGTCCTGACAGTCCACACTCCACCGTGCAGAGGAAGCAAGGCGTCGGGCAGCCCTGGCATGGCAGGTGAGTGGGCTGGGCCTGGGGGCCTTGGGGCACCAGGGCCCCTGCGAGAAGCTTCGGGAAGCGGTTGTCTGTGGAATGAAACTTTGGTCACTGATTCTCAGGATCATGAAGCTGCACGGTCCATGAGCTGTTCCTGCCTGTTCAAGAGAACCCGGGGGCCCAGAGATGGAAAGAGCCTTCTCTTGACCACCCAGCAAGCAAGTCCGAGACAGAGTCCTTCCCAGACTGGGGCCAGGCCTTCCCCGCATGCCTTGCTGGGCTGGAGGAGGGGTGATCAGAAAGGGAAGTGGAAAGATCTGAAGTCCTCTCACACCCCATGTAGATTACATGGATCCAGAAACATGTCTGGGCAGAGCTGGGGATGTGGGCTCAGGGAGGAGAAAGGAGACGCCCCACGGGCTGCATCCTCTTCAAATTCCCACCTCAAAGATTCAAATGCAAGAGCAGCTCTGTCCAAGGAGAAAAGAGCTATGTGACCTTGAACAAGAGAATTTGCCCTTGGTGCCTCCATTTTCCCATCTGTACGATGGGAATTATAATTCAAATCACCTCACAGGCCTGCAGTGAGGAACTGTTGAGACCGAGTCTGCCTTTCCCCCCACGATATCTCACATGGGGCCTTGTGAGATACTCTCAGAAAATGTGCCTCCCCCTCCAGTCTCAATACAGTGAGGGACAAATTCCCCTCCCACCCTGGGAACTTGTCTGCTAGTCAACAGTTACATATTTTATACCTATTCTGTGCTGGGAATGGGGTCCAGTGGTGAGCAAGCCAAGTCAACAGAAGCAGGGGTCCTATTCTCATAGGTCTTTAAAGGATATTTCTAATTCTATGTTCCTATTTTCAGTTGTTCAGTATCATGTGACAATTTTAGGAGTCTTGTTTATTTTTTGACTTTCAAAGGCAGGTATTTTAATTCCCTTATCGTATTTGAACTTTCTCTTCTTACTTTCCCCTGGCAATTGGGAACATTACTGGCATCCTGGGCCCTTCCTCTCTTGGGAGGGTCAGCTCCCCATGGACTAGGCCTTGCCACCCCAGCTCACCCCCTAGGCTTTTGTTTCCAGAGCTGGAGTGGCTTCTTCCTTTAGTCCTGGGTTAGAGGGCGCTGGCTTTGCTTCCTTCAGGATCTGCTTTTCAGGACTCACCTAGAGGTCCCTCTTCCCTAAGTATTTACTATACCATCAGCCTTAAACTTGACCAAGTTTAATTGCTGAAAAAGGATCCTTCTAGGATCAAAGTCAGCAACAGGGGTTCCAATGTCAGGTCTAACTTACTGGGTGATCATTCGTCTCTTTGAACCTCAATTTCTCCATCTGTAAAATATCAGGGTTGGATTCATCATGCCTAGTATATAAACTGACTATTAAGTTGAATTCAATCCCCAGTCTTCTGGGTTTTCCTGGCTTCTTGGAGACCTGCTCCTCAGAGCAGTCGACCAAGCCTACTACACAATCTGTGCATGAATGACAAGACATCAGATCCTGGGTGGAAAGTATGTGGCCTGCCTGTGGCCCCTTCTCACCCCCTCCCTCACACTGTTTGTGGCAGACATCACTAGTTGATGCCACAGAGCCTGAATGTGGCCCCAGGAGTCTCCTCAATGTAGTTCTTCAGGTCGTCCCTACCAGTTGATCAGCGTTAGAAAATGAAAGAAGATCCTTTTCCCATTGTTGAATTATAATAATCTTTTGGCTCAGAAATTCTAAGAATCAAGAATACTCTGTGTGGGGTTGGCTCCAGCTGGGACATTGGGTTGGAGCTGATGGGCCACTGCTTACTGGTGAGAGAGGCCAGCAGCTTCCGACAGGACCAGGAAGGAAAGGGAGACTGGGAAGTGGCCCCAGGCAACTCCTCAATGAATCATTTAGTTGGGGAGATCAGGTGCCCATGATGCACACTAAGGATAAGGTCATAATGGGTCCCATTAAAAACCAATTACATTGAGTCCAGAATCTGGGAGATGATACTGGTTTCATCAGAGCCTCCTGGGTTCAGCCCCATGGGGTGCCATCCCCAAGCTGGGACAGAGATCTAGGGAGCAGAGCATCATCAGCTGTTTGGTATCACCCAAGGGCAGGAGGAGAAACAGCTGGGTTGAGCTAGGGCTGTGGGTGGGAGGCGATCCTCTGCACATGGACCCTTCTTTCCAAGTAGGACTCTTTCTTAGGCTGATCTCAGGCCAGCTGGTGAGCAAGTGAGCTGGAGAGGAGACGGTGAGGTTGGCAGGGGAGGGAGAGGCAGGTGATAGGCAGGCCAGATGGTGGGGATGGGGGAGCTTGAATGCCAGCATAATGGTCAGGGATTTGATGGCTCTTCAGCGGGGGAAATGACATGTTGACCCTTGTGCAGTCAGGAAATCCCTTCTCCTCACTGACTCTCAGTTTCTCCATGATAACAGGATGGGTTGAAGAGGATGAACTGAAAATGTTCTGAGGCTCTTGGGGCCTTCAATGATTTAAACAAGAGGTGAAGATGGGGAGTAAAAAGAAAATCAATGCATGTAGGAATTGGGAGGGGAAGACCAAAGTGGTGGGGGAGAAAGGAGGCGGTGATGATATAAAACCCCCACTATTTTTTTAAATTTTAATTGAAGTATAGTTGATTCACAATGTTGTGTTAGCTTTTGGTGTACAGCAAAATGATATGGAAATATATATTCTTTTTCATAATCTTTACCATCATGCTTTATTACAGGATAGTAAATACAGTTCCCTGTGTTATACAGTAGGACTTTATTGTTTATCTATTTTCTACATAGTCGTTTGTATCTGCTAATGCCAAACTCCTAGTTTATCCCTCCTCTCCTTTCTCCTTTGGTACCCATAAGTTTATTTTCTGTGTCTGTGAGTCTGTTTCCATTTTGTAAACAGGTTCATTTGTATCATATGTGAGATTCCACATGTAAGTGATGTCATATGGTATTTGTCTTTCTCTGTCTGATTGCTTCACTTAGAATGATAATCTCTAGGTCCATCCATGTTGTTGCAAATGGCATTATTTCATTCTTTTTTATGGCTGAGTAGTATTCCTTTGTATATATATACCATATCTTCTTTATCCATTCACCTGTCAATGGACACTTAAAAATCCCAGTCTAGTAGTCTCATAACCATGGTACTCTGCTAAGTACCTTATAAGTAAGAAGACCACTCATATCAGCTGAAATTTGTTGTCCTAGAGTTTATTAATGGCTTCTCCTTTCACTCTCAGAATTTACAGATTTAGGTGACAAATTTACTCATTACCCTATTTAATCATTACCTCATCCACCCCAAAACTCTATGAGGAAAGTATTATTATGCCACTTCAGAGAGGTCCACTAATTTATCCAGGGCCACACAGCCAATAAATGAAAGATCAGGATTGCATTAATTGTCAGAACACTGGAATGGCAGCCGGGAGTTCTTGTGCAAATACTGAAGATAATTATCTGAGTAATAACACTCACCTTTATTGAGTGCCTAATATGTGCCAGTACTGTTCTAATTACTCTATGTGAATTATTGTATTTAATTCTCACAACTCAAGGAGGGGGCTACTATCATCACCTCCATTTTCACCAGGAGACTGAGGATCAGAAAGGTTCAGTCACTTGCCTCGGGACACACAGCCAACAAGCGGCAAAGTCTGCACTTGAATTCAAGTGTGTGCCTCTGAAATCAGCCTTCTAATTGCTGTGTGAGGTGGAAAGAAAGTCCACCTTTCCTAAGACAGGAAGATGGGGTGGAGAAGGGAAGGAGACCTGCAGAGGAAGGAAGTCAGGAAGGAAGGGCAGGTTTTGGAAAGTGACTGCTTCAGAGAGAGGGATTATGGATGGGTGGGGAGCAGATGTTGGAGCATAGGTGCTGATCCTCTAAGGTGTGCCAGGAAGCTGTAAGCATTGGCTGTCCTTTTCACAGCCTCGTCCCTGTCAAGGGACGGGGAGTGACATCCATTCATTCATTCAGCCATGAACACTGTGCCCTGGGCCCTAAGCCAGGCTCTCCCAGCCCAGAGAGCATGAAACCCAGGCCTTTCCTTCATGGGGCTTAGTCCAGTGGAGGAGAGAGAGAGAGATGTGAGCAAACAGCTAAAACCCAGCTCCCTTGATGATTCACCAGGGATGGAAACCTTAGTCTCAGACAGAAAAACTCGAGCTGAGCACATGGAGGAAATGATACTGGGTTTATTTTGATGGGGCGTCTGGAAACCAGAGCAGTGACTTCAGGGGTTAGGGCAGGTGTACACTGGTAGCAATGGCAGGTCAGGATTTCTCGGTAACAGCTCTGAAAAACCATCAAGGGGCAACAGGTAGGGGTAAAAGGGTAAGGGCAGGGACAAGTGGGGAGACGTTGCAAGAAAAAAGACCTCAGTTCAGCAGAAGGAAGGACTCCTTAACGTCTGGGCGGCCAATGAGCCGCCTCTCAGCGATATGACGCGAGAGCTATGATCAAGTATCCACTGGGAGCTGGGCTGAGCGAACTTGACCTGGAAAGGAAGTTGTGAGACAGATGGACTCTGAGATTTGGGGATAATGATAATGGCTGCTCTGACTCATCCCACCCCTCCTGCCCTCCTTTGAGGAGCCTATGGAGGCCCCGAGGCTGGTGGGAGCTGGTTCGGTCTGCGACTGGGAAAAGGGAAGCCGAGCTGGCATCCTCGGGGCTGGAACCCCTGACCCAGGTCCTGGAACCCTCATCACACCCCCAACCCCCCTTGTCAGCAGCCCTAGGGCAGGCCCGAGCTGAGGTCATTACCACCTAATAACCTCACGCCCTGCTCCTGACTCATCCTTTAAAAAAAAAAAAAAAGTTGGGGCCTGGCCTGGCCTGGCCTGTCCCCACAGAGGTTGTGGCTTGGCTTTGATCCAGCATGCCCTCAGGCAGGAGTCCCTTTCTTCCATCTCCAGGTCTCAGTTTCTGTCAGTCAGATGGAGACCTGGGCTTCTCATGGCCTTTCCAGCTCTGCTGATATTAAATTAGACAATTCTGTGTGCAAGGGAAATGGGGTGCCTTTC